AGAGTCCCTTCCCCTCCCCTCCAGGGACGGCAGGCAAGCCCAGGCAGACAGGGGACAAGCACAGGACTCCGGAAAACGCAATCCCACACAGCCTCCTTCCACGCACATAGCACAGGCGGTGCCAGTTAGGGGCCGGCAGGCAGGCTGTCCCCAGGGCCTCGCAGCAGCTTCCCAGGAGTGAAAGCTCGTGTTTGTTAGGCTGGAGAGGCACTCACTTCTGAGGGTGGAGGTGGCAGCGTCGGGGTTGGGATCTGTGGGAGGCTGCTCAGCTTCGTCCCATTTCTCACCATCTGAATGTGGTCGTTGAACTGATCCTAGCAGGGAGGAAAGACGACAAATGCATCTATCGAAGCCTCTGCCTGAGGAAGTTTTGGGCACTGCGTGCCCAGAACAGGCAGATTCCCCTGCCCGGGCAGAGCATTCTCAGCCCTGGAACGGTTGCAGGCCCTAAAGCGGACACAGTTTGGTTCCACAGGAGTCCAGAACGAAAAAGGACCCGGAGGGACAAACAGAGTAACTGCCTCTGTGATTAACCCAACACGCTGCTTTCATATCCACACGCGTGAGCCTGAAGAGGCAGGCAGACATCTCTGCAGCTGCTCGCAAAGGGACACCAACCGTGCCGTGCTTTTGGGCGCACCGCTTTTTCTGGGTCTTGGTCCTCTCCCAAAGAGGGTTGAAAGTAAGCGTGCGAAGTAGCATCAATGCAAAGAACTGCTCGCTGCTAGGCTGGGAGCCGCCCAGCAGGAACTTACTCGGACACTTTCCTTGGTCATTCGTATCCTGTTCAGCCTCATCTCCCACTCCTGCTTTGGCCTCATCGTCTCCAGCGTGGGCGGCGCAGACCTGCAAGCACAACTAAACTTTCCCACTTGCAACTGTGCTCTCGCTCCAGCAAAGTGGGAGCAACTAACACCCCACACCCTCCTGCCCTCCCCCACCGGGCTCCCCTCCTCCGGCTGGGCGGGAAGAAGGCCCCACACGCAGGGGAACCCCGCAAGAGGGGAGCATGCGGTGGTGCTGCCAGAGCGCAGGCTGATCTGGCAGACAGAGACACGCGCCCCACTGTCAACGCCGTGCCGACAGCCCTCGGTCTAGAGCACGGCACATGGTCAGCAGGCGGACAGCACAGAACAAGCACAGCCCCACATACCCTTGTTTTGCGACATTACTGAATCACATTATCTTAATAAGAAAGCCACAGGACAGCTTGGGCTTTTTC